ATACTTATCTACGTTCATGTTATAGTGGGTTATAGATCTACTCAGGCTTCTAACTGCATTTCTATATCATTTTCATTATTTACTTCTCTCTTAATATTATTCCTAATGAAAGATATACGAAAGTTATATTCTACATTCTCCGTCAGGGTACTCTTCTTGGCTAACATATCAACATTATCATGAAGGAGTAATCCAATGTGTGATGGGATCCATAGCAATTGCACATCAATTCCTTTTTCCCGGATTTTTTATTATCTCTACCTTATTTTGGAAAATTGCATTTATCTGAATGTAACTCATTATGTACATAACAGTAAATGATAACAAAGATAATTATTATTTATCAGAGTTACATAGACAAGTAGGAATTTGGGACACCTAGGTCACAAAAATGTCCCCCTTCGATACCTACCACTGTCATATCCACAAGTTGCTCTAGACCTATTAATTACAAATGAAATGTACATACACCAGGAATTCTGGTAAATATATAAATTTGTGGACTGTATATTAAAATTAATAATGAATATATACATGCACATTTACATAACAGAAGGAGAATATATCTTAATATCACTCACCAATTTGACTGGAGATTAAGTTATATCATACTCAGAAAACCTCACTGTCTATACATGAAAATAACACTGGCCAGAGTTAAAACATCACACTTATCTGAGGTTCCTGGAGCTGTCTTGTCCAGTCGCCTGATATCTCAAGTTATGCAGGAATGCACATCCAACAATTTCGCCTCCTATTTGAGAGGTGTCAGCCCAATTTTACCTCTAGAGCACGAAAATTCTTCCCAGTTTTACTAACGTTTTCTTGGCTCATTCAAAACACAATGGCGAGTCTCCTCTGCGCAGGCGCAGCTTCCCTGTCCGTTCCATTCTCTTCTTTTAAAAATACATTTTTAATCAGGTTTATTTTCACAGCATAATATTGGAAAATTATTTTCCACACTTATAATTAATGACTATAATACCAACAAGTTGAATATTCACTGACATGTCGGTATGGTATACCATTAACATGACACTTGTGTGACAAAATAATATATTCAACAACTTGTCTGTACTGTATTTCAGTAACGTTATGATACGCTGAGGAACTGGCTGTAGATACCAGGACACGGAGATCTTCCATTTACACTTCAGGATTGTGCAGTCCGGCTTCAGGTGGCTTTCATCCGACCGCCAACATGTCTTGAATCTCATGTCGGTCTTTTTTTCTCCATCACAGGCATGCTGAAGACAGTCTTATCGGTCTTATAACAGGTCTTAGCCGCCATGGTCTTCTTGTCTTGGCTGGTTTTCAATGGGGCAAGTGCTGTATCATCACTCTGGATTATTATAATCAAGAGGGAGAGCTAAACCCGTAGGATTATGCAGCGCCTGTGGGGGAGGGGGATGTGGAAAGTATAAGACTCAAGAAATCGTAATGACACGATTGCAAATAAACCATACCCCCGGCCGGGATTGAACCCGCGGTCATAGAGTCTCAAAACTCCAGCCCGTCGCGTTAGCCACTAGACCAGCTAGCCACAATAAAATTCATCCAACTAGGTATATTTCTACACCATAGGAAAGTTAGCACAGGCACCTCTGTGACCACAAATGCAAGTTTTTACAGACGAATCTCCAGCTAGCGTGGCCGTGACGAACTCTAGCTCAAGTCCCTTCACTGCCGTCAACATGACGGCAGTGAACATAGATTATCATACATAGCAGCATATGTGTAGAGAACCTGGGATAACAAAAAAGTCAGAGTGACAGATAAGATAAGATAAGATTTCGTTCGGATTTTTAACCCCGGAGGGTTAGCCACCCAGGATAACCCAAGAAAGTCAGTGCGTCATCGAGGACTGTCTAACTTATTTCCATTGGGGTTAATCTTGTCCCCCAGGATGCGACCCACACCAGTCGACTAACACCCAGGTACCTATTTTGCTGCTAGGTGAACAGGACAACAGGTGTAAGGAAACGTGTCGAATGTTTCCACCCGCCGGGAATCGAACCCGGGCCCTCCGTGTGTGAAGCGGGAGCTTTAGCCACCAGGCCACCGGGCCATTAGGGTCCTTTTTGCCTTATTATTATAATATAAAGGTTATAATATCTTCTTATTATTCTATAAAGGAGATAATATTTTATTATCATACTATTAAGACTATCTACTACACGAGGGTCATTAAGACTATCTACAATACGAGGGTCATTACTAGGAATAAGGTAAAATTACACGTATGTTAGCTAAAAAAAAATAAAAAATCATTCCCTTCCCTTTCTGTAGCTACATTCATCAGACACTTTTTGGCACTCTTCTTGAACTGGTTCATGCTATGACTGGCTTTGACATATGCGGACAGTCTGTTCCATTCCTTTATTGCTGTACAATAAAAGGTTATTATTATTATTAAAGATTAGCCGGTATTCTCCCGGCCCGGGCCTTTTCCAAGTGGTGGCCCGGCCTTGGCTCCCTCTTTAGGGAGTGTCTGAGACCTAAGTCTTCCATGGGAGGAGGCACAAGTACCTCCTCATCTTTGGGACCAACTGTCCCCAGGCCTAGCCACAAGCTAGGCCTCTCTGGTCTGCCATCCCCGCCCGAAGGGGACAAATGGGAATGACAGTCTTATGAGCTAAAGGCTCGGGCTCAGGCACCTACCCTACCCTAGAAGGGTTAGGCATGGTAGCGATCACATTAAAAGGTGTTTGAAGCCTGGCCACTGTGGGTACTACAAAGTTGTGCTCTCTCCCCCTAGTACTATGATTGCTTTGGTTCCCAACCTTGACAAAACTGGCAGCAAGATATTCTGGACACTGTTTGTGAGCAATTTCATAACCTTGATTTAGCTTCAGTTGTTTTACTCTGTCTTCAACATTCAGCATATCCAATTGCTGTAATTCAGGCTTATTAATTCAGGGAACCGGAGCACAGATTCAATTCCCTAGATCAAGAGCCCCTCACCGGCGTCAAGGAAACTTCCTTGAGGAGATCATCACTCTGGAACATTCAGAATGCTCTGATAACAATGTCTTGTCCCAGGTTATGTCTAATTGTATCTCTAGTGTTGGACTTTTCAAGACTTGATATCAGCTTTCCGACAGTCTCAGTTGTCCAACCATTTATTAATACTACTTACTAGGATCCCAATGGAAATAAGTCACTCTTGTCTGACTTTTCTTCGGGGTTATCTTAAGTTCTCTACATTTTTTTTTTTAGACTTTGCCACCGAAGTGGCTAGTTTATTGTACGCCCCATATCCATCCTGTGGACGGTAGCGCAAGAGCATATGGATACACAAAAAGCCTAGGAACTAGGCCCCAAAAGGGTTAACAGGTGCACATATGGATTTACATCTATAGTTCACTTATCTGTTACACATATGCTGTTATGTATGATAATCATTGTAACTGTATACCTGAATAAAACTTACATCTTGATGTGCACCAAGAAAAATTTTGGTGGCAAAAAAAAAATCAAGAACGCCTCCCATGAGCATCTCTCCTCGTGTGGCATCATAACTAATGCTCCAGACATGTTACAGTAGCTGGACAACCTTGACCAATGTCATATAGCTCCCTCAGCCTGGTGATGGTGTTCAATGCTTGTCTAACCTATAGGCATGACCTGCTTTCACTGGTGACGCCGCCTATAACTTCTCGTCTCACAAGGTTTTTTTTCCTTTTTACTGTATTGATGAAATTACTGGCTGACGAATTATTATAATCAAAAGCTATTATTATAATCAAAAGACTGGCTGGCGAAACGTTTCCACAATAACGATACCCAAATATTGCACAAGAGTCTCATTCTTCAGCCTACTACAGGTCTTGTCACTGTAAAATGATATCTAATGGTAGTGTCACTGTTCGGTAGTAATAGTTTGGCCACGGTTTTGGATGTACTTACTGTAGTGCCAGGCTTCTGTGATATAATTGAAATTGAAATGTTTATTTCTCAGTAAATATTACAATGTGGGGTTTACATATTATAAAATATTAATTACAATGTGTGGTTTACATATAAATATTAATTACAAAGAAGGCCAGTAACATGCCTAGGTATTTCGGGCAGAACAGAGTACTGGTGTTATCTCTCACAATCGCTTCTAAACATTTTCCTATAAATAAATAATTTTCATGAAATATCAGCACGGCTTCATTACACTTGGTAGTGTCTCTGTGCTGGTGTTAAATACTGGTATTATTTTGTTCATCCCGGGTATAGAACACTTCCATCACACAACACATATTAACTAGTTTCACTCTCAAGTAAGTTTCCTTGATGTCGATAAGGGGCTCTTGATTCAAGGCATTACATCTATTCCTTCCCTTCCTTGGATCTCGTTTTCCCAAATGCTGTATGACCTCATGGGTTTACCGCTCACTTAAGCACTTTTATAATAATCAATTTGAATGCTTCCAGCGGCTCTAGAATGTCTTCCAAATTTGCAGAAGTCATCCCTGATTAAGATTCAAAATAATTTTGTGAACATTTATAAATTTTTAAAGTATTAAATTGGAAAGCATTTTGAATAGGTTCTATAAAATCATATTTTTATGTAGAATATTTACCAACTAAATCTAGGATAGTCAAATCTAGGATTTAAGATTTTTTATTTGGATAATCATAAGGGTAAAAATAAAAGCGCCAAAATTTCCCCTCATGCAGGTTTAACTATATAATTTTACTCCTGGAAAATGTACTAAGATGTAATGAGTCATAATTTTAGAAATTTCTGGAAGTTACTAGAATGTGGATGATAGTGTAGTGTGTGTGTCCCGCCGCTGCTGCTGTGTTGTGGTACACTGTTGCCTTCACGTTATTAACCATGGTTAGCCTTTATCTTTCTTATTTTACCTCTAATGTTGATGTTTTTGAGTGGTTTATAGCAGTATGTATGTCCATGGTGTGTGTGAGGTGTGTTTGTTAGGTGTAAGAGGAGAGAGAGGTGGTAATAACGTCAGCATGGCCCGGTGTGGCCGCCTCTGTCGTCTGTTGACTTGTCATCTCACATGTTACTCTTCTCACTCTGTTTTGTGTGTTTAAACCTCAGTAGTCGAGTAAGCTTCACTTTAACGTGGAGTGTTGGCCTTAAAAACTTTGAATCAAAATTGAGAAAAGGGGTATTTATTTTTATTGCTAGTTTATCGTTATTATAACTGGTTATTCCAGGTTCAGTTTTGCACTGTTAAATGTCTTATTTTTTAGGTTTTAAATAAAGCGTATAAACAGATTAAGTGTATTTGCCATGTTATGGATGTGTTTGAGTCTAGTTTATAATGTTAAGTTGCCGGGGCTCTGTCCTGGAAGTAACTCGCATTTTGACTATATTTTATCAGTCCTCTTGAGGGTACGAAAAAAGTACGTGATATATATAAAGTTTAAGATAACCCATTAAAGTTAATGTAGAGGTTAAAACTTGCATATGAGGCTGGTGTAAAAACTTGAAAAATAAATTATCATTGCAGCACTTAAGTAAAGCAAAATGTATTTGTTAATTTGTTTTATTAACTACACTGCAGTTAAGGGTAAATTTAAGTTATAATAAAATACTTTGGATTAGTACCCCCTCAAGGAAAGGTGCTCTTATGCCAGTGAAGGGTTCTTCATCCAAGGAACTGGAATCATCTTTCCATTCTGCAGGTGCTATATAACCCCTGTGGGTTTAGCACTTCCCTCTGATTCAATAAATTTTGGATTAGTACCTTTAGAGGGGCTTGTTTAATTTTGGAGGAGCTGGGTTCGATCCCAGCATAAGTTGAAATGTTGGGTATATTTCTTTACACCTGTTGCCTCCCTTCACCTAAAAGTAACTAGGGACTTTGGTGATGAATGACATGTGAAATACCTGGGTTTCAATTTTGACGACATTTTCCCCATGCAAAATGATTTTTTTAGTCTAATAAAATATTAAAGTAGCCTGTGTCTTTGAATGAAAAAAGAAAACTTGCCTCGCAGGTGAAATTTCTTGTCATTATTATATAGTTACTCATGTGTTGCGCATGAGTAGATACTTGTCAGTATTATATACTGAAAATTAGCTACTCAACTTGTCAGTATTGTATACTGACTTGTCAGTATACAACTTGAGTGACAACTTGAATTTGTCAGTGACAACTTGAATTTGTTAGCTGGCTGTTGTGGGTGGCATCTTGGGAGGGTGGATAAAAAAAAACAGTGGAAATGAGCCTGACTAGTGGATTTATTAGGCTTTTTTTGGGTTACCAATTGTCTGGGTAAATAATCTGAATAAAATCTTCAACCTAGGTTAACTCAGGAAGCCAAACAGTGTTGCTGATTTCCATTGGATTATCATTATAAATCTCAGGCATCCAGCAGAGCCATCAACTTTTTAAATCACTGATGTTAGCGAGTTATCCAGGTGGCAGGATTGATGACTTGTGAAAATATAAATAAAAGTTATCTAACAATATAATTTAGAATTTGCTCAAGTTTAGTTAGTGCACACACATAATTTTATTAAATTTAATTAAAATGGAGATAAGGTTCTTGTGAGACTATATGCATTATTTTATTTTTTAAAATACAAGCATGCTCTCACCCTTATACAGATTGCTATTTCTTTTGCAGATTATTTTGGGAGACACAGTATTATAAAAAATATTACCATTATTTTGGCTCAGACATTTCATTAGGGCCAGTCGTGCTGTATAGCCCTTGTGGCTTAGCGCTTCATTTTGATTATAATAATAATTAGGGCCAGTCAGAGTTTCTTGCAATATGTCATTTCCATAGCTTCCACCATTGGGATGAGGTAAAGTTACTGTGTATGGGGTTATTTTAGGTTGGGTCATACTGGGGCTTCTTGTGTTAGGCTAGGACATTTTTAAGAATAAATTATTGCCCAGATCAAATAAAGACCTGATCTTCATAATTACCCTGAATTATATATGGGGGAATTCTTCACCATTATAAAAATATTGGAAGGTTTTGATCTGTCGATGACTTGAACGTGTGTGATTACTGTCATTTGTTAAAATACAACTGTGAGTTACCTAACATAATTTAGCTTTAGTTAGGGTAAGTTATGAAGAATTGAGACACTTATGCAACACATGGGAATCTTTATTGAAGAAACGTTTCGCCACACAGTGGCTTCATCAGTCCAATACAAAGTAGAAATGGGTAAGGAGAGTTGAAGTTTGAGGTAATCAGTCCCTCAACCTGGAATCGATGTGTTCAGTCCATCACTCTTGTAAGTTATGCAAGGTTAGGTTACTGCTTGCCTATATTTTCATTAAATTGGCATCAAGGAGGACCCTTTGCCAATAGGAAAATATTGTGGACCTTTCTCAACTTAGTAATGACTAGGGAATGTCAGTGAGATCACTTGCATTTCCTTTTAAGGATGTGACCCACATGGCGAATAACTTCTAGGTATCCATTTATTGCTAAATAACAGGCAGCAGGTGTTAAAGATTCTTGCTTCATCCTGGGTTTGATTTGGGTACTTTTAATTTTGAAGGTGCTGAATGTGTTACCACAAGGCCATGAGGTATCCATCAGTCGTAACAGAATTAGTGACAACCAATCTTGCATAAATTTCATAATAGAGTAGCTAAATAAAATTTTACCAGGGTTGCCATAGCTAAATATTAATGAGTTCAGGTACCTCACTTTTTTCCAAGCTAGGCTCTTAGACGTTATGATCCAAATTTAATTAGTCAATGTTTTGGATAATTGGAAAATAGTGTAGTTAGAAAATCCCCATAGGTAGAAAGTTTGAAGTACTGTAGGCCTGATTAAGAACTAGACTTGAAAGATATTTCAAGCAGTACAGTGGACCCCCGGTTAACGATTTTAATCCGTGCAAGAGGGCTCATCGTTATGCGAAATAATCGTTATGCGAATGAATTTTCCCCATAAGAAATAATGGAAATAAAATTAATCCGTGCAAGACGCCCAAAAGTATGAAAAAAATTTTTTTTTACCACATGAAATGTTAATTTTAATACACACAAACTGAAAAAGGCATGCACAATTAAATGACACTTACTTTTATTGAAGATCTGGTGATGATTGATGGGATGGGAGGAGGGGAGAGAGTGTGTTAGTGTTTAGAAGGGGAATCCCCTTCCATTAGGACTTGAGGTAGTAAGTCCTTTTCTGGGGTTACTTCCCTTCTTCTTTTAATGCCACTAGGGCCAGCTTCAGAGTCACTGGACTTCTTTCGCACAAGATATCTGTCCATAGTGGCCTGTACCTCTCGTTCCTTTATGACTTGCCTAAAGTGTTTCACAACATTGTCAGTGTAATAATCACCAGCACGGCTTGCAATAGCTGTGTGAGGGTGATTTTCATCATGAAGGTTTGCACTTCAAGCCACTTTGCACAGATTTCCTTAATCTTTGAAGTAGGCAACTTCTTCAATTTCTCTCTCCCTCCTCCGAAGCAATTTCCTCAGGTGTGGCCTCTTGCTGTTGAAGTTGATCTAGCAGCTCATCAGTGGTTAGTTCTTCATTGTCCTCCTCCACCAACTCTTCCACATCCTCCCCACTAACCTCCAACCCCAAGGACTTTCCCAATGCCACAATGGATTCCTCAACTGGCACAGGATTCTCAGGGTTAGCCTCAAACCCTTCAAATCCCTTTTGTCTACACATTCTGGCCACAGTTTCTTCCAAGCAGAGTTCAAGGTCCTCTTTGTCACTTCCTCCAAGCCTTACCTATAAGGTTTACACAATTGAGGATATTAAAGTGATCTCCCCAAAACTCTCTTAGAGTCAGTTGAGTTTCTGAGGTCATTACAAAGCACCTTTCAAACAGAGCTTTTGTGTACAGTTTCTTGAAGTTGGAAAAACCCTGCTGGTCCGGGGCTGCAGGGGAGGAGTGGTATTAGGAGGCAAAAACTTCACCTTAAGAAGCTCATGTCCCCATAAAGCGCTCTGCCACGTCTGTAGGATGACCAGGGGCATTGTCTAACACCAGGAGGCACTTAAGTTCTAATTTCTTTTCAGTTAGGTAATTTTTCACTTGGGGGCAAATGCATGGTGAAAACCAGTTATAGAAAAATTCCCTAGTGACCAATGCCTTACTGTTTCCCCTCCAAGCACACACAAATTATCTTGAGGACATTTTTTGCCTGAACGTTTTGGGGTTTCAGAGTGTACACTAATAAAGCTTCACTTTGCAATCACCAGTAGATTGGCACACATTAACAAAGTAAGCTGTCTTTATAGGCTTATGTCTGGGGGTGCTTTTCCTCTGGGGTAATGTAGGTCTGCTTGGCAATTTTTCCAGAACGGGGCCGTTCATCACAATTAAAACTTTGTTCAGTTTCAGTCCTTCAGTTTCTATTTTACTCCTTGAATTCCTGAAATATTTTTCAGCCGGCTTTGTGGTCCGAACTGGCGCTACATGCCTTATCACACTATGGATGCCATACGCTTCTTAAATCTCTAAAAACCAACCTTTGCTGGCCTTAAATTCACTCACATCATCACTATTTGCAGGCATTTTTTAATTAAATCCTCATGCAACTTCCTAGCCTTTTCACATATGATCGCTTGAGAGACGCTATCTCCTGCTATCTGTTTTTCATTTATCCACACCAATAAGTCTCTCAACATCTTCATCAATTGCGATCTTTGTTTTTGAAAACACAGTTTTAACCTTTGGGAAGAACAGCTTCCTGATTGTCTTTCTGGTGGCCCCCAATAGTAGCGATGGTTGATTGGGGTTTCTTGTACAGCTTGACTAGGTCGGCTATACGCACTCCACTTTCATACTTATCAAATTATCTCTTCTTCATCTCTATAGTAATTCTTACCCTTTGAGGTGTAGGGGTTTGGGACTAGAAGCTTTCTTGGGGCCCATGGTCACTTATTTCCAGAAACAGCACCGAAAATACTGTAATAATACGAAATATTCCGAGTGTATGCTTGGATGTTACCGCGGAGGCTGGCTGGTAAACAATGGGACGGAGCGGCACATGTGAGGCTGGCTGAGGGCACATTGGACGCGTCTCGGACGAAAATCGGTATGCGGGTTTTTAATCGGTATGCGCGGCAAAAATTTTGCGATAAAAGTAATCGTTATGCGGAAAAATCGCTATGCGATGCCATCGTTATGCGGGGGTCCACTGTATTAGTAAGTCTGTTTT